ACCCTATGCCTGTACTATCACTCTGGCTTATATATATACTCCACCTTTTATACAATTTGTTTATCTCTGTATATTCCAGATTTCTCTCATGTCCAGGAGCTGCTACAACACAGATATTTGCTGAATGACTGAAAACCTCAGCAAAAGACAGCCTTTGCATTCATTCAGTATTTGTTGGAATCCACTACTGTCATAGGTACTGGGGGAAAAAACATCTGGTCTCTCGGCCTTCGTGAAGCTTACAATATAGTAGGAAAGAGTTATTAAAGAGTAATCACACAAGGGGCTGGAGGTAGTAAGGCACCTGCTTGCATGTGGCTGGCCCAGTTCAATCCCCAGCACCACGTATGGTCCCCTATACCCTGCTAGGAGTGATCCCTGAGCACAGAGCCAGGAGTAAGTCCTGAGCACAGCTGAATGTGATCCAACTCTACCCCCACCACCACCACCAAAAAAGAAGAGTAATTCATGAATTACAAATAATTCATGAGAGTGAAATTGAGCACTGAGAAGTACCAACAGCCTTATGAAAGCATATTTCTGGAAAATAATAAAATATAGGGGTCAAGATTATTGTTTCTCTCCCATATGGGATTTGAAAAGAAACAAAGTAAGGGAACAACAAATGGGGAACTGAAGATTTTGTTTATAGGACAAATGAGGAATTGGGAGGGGCGGGGGAGAGACTGTGTGGATCCTTGGGACAGTGATGGACGGAAACAGGCTCTCTGGTAATGGGTCTATTAGAATGACGTGTGCATGAAGGGCCGGAGTGATAGTACGGCAGTTAAGGCACTTTCCTTGTACACAGTAGAACCGGGTTTGATTCTCAGCATCCCATATGGTCCCCTGAGCATCGCCAGGAGTGATGCTTGAGTGCAGAGCCAAGAATAACCCCTGAATATTGCCAGGTGTGGACCAAAACAAATAAAAAAAATAAAAAATCATAAAGTAATCACAAATGGTTCTTACTGATTTAATTTCTGATCATTCTATTTGCCATTTCTTAAAGTGTTGTTGGACTAAGTGATAAGAAGGAAATTTGTTATGTGCCTAAGGGGGCATGTTGGAACTGGGAGGGAAACTGGGGATATTGGTGGAGGGAAGGTCACACTGGTGGTACTGGCATACTAAATGCTTAAAAGAACTGTACAGTGAACAACTTTGTAAATCATGGTTTTTAACAAAAAATTAATTTTAAAGAAAGAGAATGATACACGGATGAAAAGTGATTAAAAAATTTAAATCCTGGCACCTCAATATAAATGGTTTAAATCAAAATAAAATTTTTTTGTTTATGGGGCTGGAGCTATAGTATAGCAGGTAGGGCATTTGCCTTGCAAGCAGCCAACCTGAGTTCGATCCCCAGCATCCCATATGGTCCCCTGAGCACCTCCAGGAGTAATTCCTGAGTGCAGAGCCAGAATTAACCCCTGTGCGTCGCCAGATGCGACCCAAAAAGCAAAAGCAAAACAAAAAAAAAGTATCTATATAAATTTTTTTAATGATGCATGTATCTAAGAAAGTGAAATCTGGGCTAGAAAAATAGTACAGCAGGTAAGGCGCACACTGGGCACTTAGCCGCTTCTGGTTTGAGCACCAGCACCACATATGGTCACAGAGCAGGAGTGTTCCCTGAGAGCAGAGCCAGGAGTAAGCCCTAGGACTGCTGGGTGTGTCCCCCAAACAAACAAACAAAAAAACCTAAAGTTATGTCCAAGCTAAGAGCTTGAAAGTAAATTTTTTTTAGTGGTACTGGTAGTGGGAGGGCTGGATCACATCCAGCTGTGCTCAGGACTTACTTCTGGCTCTGCACTGAGGGATCACTCCTAATTGCCTGAAATTAGCCAGGCAAAAGAGGGACTGGGGTAAAAGGAAGAGGGTGCAGGATGTTGGGTAACACTGCTTTGTCCCTCTACAAGAAGCTTAGGTTTTGTCTGGTTACACCCATCAATCTGGTTACACCCATCACTGTCTCCTGAAGCACTTCCACTTCCATTGTGTTTATCTGTAAACAGTCTTCCCTATGCTCTCCTTCCCACCCAGTTAATCAGCTTTCCCCTTAATCAGACTTTTAATTTGTAAAATAAGTTTCCCAGAAATCTATGATTTTATATTCTTATATGCTTGTCGGACAAGGAAAGGAGAGGCATGCCCATGGGATTATGCTCTAGGGTGGGTCCTCCTGCTGAGGAAGGATCTGTCCTAGGAGCGGCCTTCCCTGAGGCTAAGATTTCTACCCCTGTTGATCTCTACCCCTATTGATTGTGACCACACCTATGTAATTGTTTTCCCCAATTCCTCTTGGAGAGAGATATAAGGAGACGGTAGATTGGGCAAGGGGGCAAAGACTACCGAACGCGGGCGGTGGGAGAGATAGAGCCACCACCGCTGTGGGTGCCGTGCCCCCTATTTTGTGTGAGTTTAAGAAGAACTGACGGTCTAGGTAAGGGACAGGCTCAAAGTGCAGCCCCAATGGAAAGCCTGAGATAAAAGTGAGAAGAGGCGAATTTGCCAGGAGGGCTGGAGTGAGTGAAGCATGTAGTGAGAGAGAAATTGAAATTTTGGTCCTGGATCTACATCCAGGTCAGTCCATGGAAAAAAAAAAAAGATGAATTAGAGGCCAGGGAGACGGCTCAAAGGGTTGGAGCACATGTAGAAGCTCTACCTTGATCCCCAGAATCTCATGGTCCTTTGCCAGGAGGAGCTTCCAGGAACCTCTAGGAGTGGCCCTCACCACAAAGGAAATAAGGAATAGGAAAAAGAAAGAAAATTAAGTTCAAAAGGCTATTATAAAGATTTAAGTGAGGAAGTCACCTTCACTCATTCAACAAATATTAATGCGCACTTACTATAACAACAATCCAATCACTATTCCAAGTCCCATAATAACTATTTGATTTCAAAATAGATCTCCCAAAAGTACTTAATCCAGAGCCCGGCAGCTTGTGGCAGAAAAGTGAATGGAGGGCACCATGCCTCTGTAGGAGGGAAAGGGTGTTGCTCCCTTCGGCCTTTATCCCGCCCACCTGGCAGCAAGGTGGCTGCCACCTCAGAGCTTATTGGAAAGCCAGGTAAGAGCCAGCAGTGATGGGGCAACTGCAGTCTCATGGGAAGGGGGGCGGTACCAGCTCGTCCTTCACGTCCTACCGAGGCCACAAGTTGCCCCCCACGAGCAGCTCTCCGGCACAGCCATAACATCGGACGCACAGAAACCAATCTCATAATTATCCGGCTCTTTGCAGAAATCCAAAATTGCGAGGCTGCTATTGCAGCTGCACGAGATTATATGATTCTCATAACGAGCTATAGAAAACAAAGTATTTCACAATGCCTTTTCAGCAATTCTGATTTTTTTTGGGGGGGGGGCAAAATTCTAAACAATAATGGTGCATCTTTTGTCGAAATAATGAATGTAATCAATGTAGAGAAGAGTTAAGTGGAAATCATCTGCCTCACAGGCATTGGGAGGGGTGGGAGGGGGGTATATTGGAGTTCTTGGTGGTGAAAAATGAGTACTGGTGAAGGAAGAGGTGTTTGATCATTGTATGACCAAGACTTAAGCCTGAAAGCTTAGTAATGTTTCCCACAGTGATTCAATAAATAAATATAAGAAGAAAAAATAAATAAAATTATGAAAAAAATAAAAAGTAAGGTGGAGTTCATGCCCAATTTAATCAGCTAATCAGTGGTTGAATAAATATTAGTACTCCTACATAAAAAAAAAAAGAAAAAATAGATCTCCCTGGGGCTGGAGAGATAGTACAGTGGGTAGGGTGCTTGCCTTGCACACAGCCAATCTGGGTTCAATCTCCTGAGCCCTACCAGGAGTGATTCCTGAGCAGAGCCAGGAGTAATCCCTAAGCATCATAGGGTGTGGCCCAAAAACAAAAACATTTTTTTTAATAAAAAATTAATGAAGTTATTCTCCCTGGCTACCCTGTGGATAATTGTTTGGGGAGTCGGAAGGCAAAAATCGATAGCTTTAAGATGTTTTACAGTATGGGACATAAATGAAAGGTATTTGTTGACAGATAAACATAGAGAATATTCACAAACTTAATGGGAACACATACACTAGAGGTTCTAAGCTATATTACACATCAAAGTGTAGAGATAAGAATTCCTGGGAAGAATTTTGAATGAATACTGAATTATAAAACCTAACTAATGTCTCCCAAAATCTGGTAGAGTCTTGTTTTTTTGTTCATTAAGGGGAAAGTGTTGGCCCATGCCCAGTGGTGCTCATGAGCTACTCCCAGCTCTGCACTTGAGGGTTTGCTCCCAATTTTGCTCTTGGGATCATGGGGTACTGGGAATCAAATAGTGGCCAGCTCCACGCAAAGCAAGTACCTTAACCTCTGCATTATCTCTTTGGACAAAAAGCTTCATAGTTCCCCATCCCATCTTCCTCCCTGCCTGGAAGTGGTGAGAGGCACACACGTATACACCCACAGGTATTACCAAATCCCCCCAAGCTAGCCTGCGGAGGCAGCGCCCCACTTGGTAGCTAAGAGGAGACCCAGGTTGCGGGAGTCCTACCAAGCTCACGTGGGGCACGCAACAGTGGTAACATTCAGAGGTGAGTCTTGAAGCTCTGCAGGGGCAGAGGAGGGACTCCTCTCATTCTCTGTCACCCTCCAGCCCCCGCCAGAGCCCTCCCTCCCCTTCAGGGGGATGAATCACTCTGATGACAAAGTTCAAGGTCCTTCTAGTACTTCTGAGCTGTTACACGGGAAGAAAGCTCAAAGTGTCTATTTATATTGATGACGGAACGTTAAAAGCAAAAGATGCAAAGCCTGCTGAAGGGCTTTCCCAGGTAACAGGGGTTAGAAAACACCTTCTAGAGAAGGGGCCCAGTGCTATGGAGTGAGGCAGATGGTGGCCAAGATAGGTGGCAGATAGAATGGTCTGTTTCTCTGCCCTTTGTCAATAGGTTGAAACTTAGCAGCTGTCACCAGACAAGGACTTGGACAAGGTCTGGAGAGAGCTCTGCTTACCTGAAGGTTCCCAGGCCATGGGAGAAGATGATCAAGGGGTATCCAGAGTCCTTTGCCTTAAAGGGTCCATTCCAGCTCATCGGCAGACGAAAAGACCCTAGAAGAGACAGGAGCTGTAGAATCTCGGGCTGCCCCATCCTGTAATGGGCACACTTGGACAGGGGGGACATGTGCCCCTCCTGTGTGCAGGCCACCATTGTTCTCTACCCTGAGCAGCCCAGGGCAGTCAGTCACCCAGTCCTTCCTCTTTTCTTCCTTAGGGAGCATCAAAAAATTAGAAAATGGGAAGATAAATCCAAAAGAGAAGTACTGAGCAGGTACAGACACATCCCTGAATCCCTGAGCTGCCAAGAGTTCCCAAGATCTGTGGGGCCTTCAAGGGAAGTATGTGGTTCCTGCTCCTTAATAGTTCCAATGCTTCTTTGATCTATACCAGCATTTCCCAAAGTGGAAGATACCAGCCCCTAGTGCCCTGCCAGGGGTGGGGTGGGTAATAGTAGCCTCAGGTGCACCAGTGGGGGTGGGGGTGAGGGGGAGATGGCCATTCTTTTTATTTGCTTTAAGAAGGTAAGGGTGGAACTGAGCGATGTTTTTCTGAGAAGGGGGTGGTAAGCCAATTATGCTTGGAAACCTCCAACCTACACAACAGCTGACAGAGTGGGAATTAATACACACTGAGTAAATGTCCAACAGTCACCGTTTATGGAACAGTTTATGTCCCAAGCACTGCACTAAAGGCTTTGCGTACAGCCCCCGCTATAATCCTGCAAAGGGAAGCATTCAGGCAGGTTAAGTAACATACCTATGCCCCACAGGCAGTAAACAGTAAGTCTGGATTGGAAGCCAAGGCAGTCTCATTCTATAACCAATACTCTTACGTCCACAGTTCTTTCCTAACTCTCTCCACTCCTCTGCCTCAGGCTGCCCCACTACAAAAGGCCCAAATAATACAAAGTGGAAGGCGCTGGTTTGTCCGGGGATCTCTGAGGAACATAAGCAAAAAACTGGGAGAGTAGCTGGGGTCCAGGCCAGTCCTCACCCACAGCCAAGTTGAATAGCAGAGCCCCCCAGCGCCTGTTAAACTGCAGGTAGTCGGCCAGGCCACTGTAGTACTCATAGCGGGGAATCCACAAGGGCTGCTCTGGTGTCTTCACTGGATCTTGGCAGGGGTAGAAGAGTCGAAAGAAGCTCCCCTGTAGGAAAGAAGAGGCCAGCTGCTTAGAGCAAGGAGCCCAAGCCCTGCCAGACTTCCCAACAGACATTCAGGGGGTGTTCGGGGAACTAGCAAGGCAGGGCATCAAAACAGGGAAACTTAAGCTTTGATTTATAAGCCTGAATTCTATATTTAGAAAATCTACTTTTTAAAAATAGCATTTTACTTAAAGCATAATTATACAGCTTACATTATTTCAAATAGCCAACTATATATTTTTTTTGTTTGATTTTTGTTTGCGGCCGTGGTTTGGGAGCACCAGGGCTATTCCCAGCAGTGCTCAGGAAGGCCATGTGGCAGTGCTGGGGGTCATACTTGGGTTCTGTGCATGCCAGGCATGAGTCCAGCCCTTTGAGCTGTTACTCTGGCCTACCAATTGTACTTTAAATTATGCCAAACCGTTTTCAGTGTTTGGCAGGGAAAAGATTTAAGCCTGGTCTTAGGAGCAAGGGATTAATTTGTGCTGAAGGTGGACTATCCAGCCCTCTTCTCCAGGCTGACTGCTGGGATACAGCAGCACCTTCATTCACATGGGAGGAGATGAGAATTTACAAGGAATAGCAGGCCTCAAACTGGGATGGGATGGGGGGCACAGAGGAGAGGGGAGTGAAGAGCCAGAGGACAGAGGAACAAGTGGAGAGAAAAGCTCAGAATCAAAGCAGGGGGCAAACCGCTGACAGAGGCAGAGACTGTGGAGGGAAATGGGGGGATACTCACCTGGCAACCTGTCCCCTCCATCACATCCCCACAGCCTACATGGTGGGGTCCTGTGACAGGTGGAAAGTCCACAGATTGGTTGATCCCCATTTCATCACCACTTGAACAGTACTCCTTGGGCAGTGCTGACCCTGATGGCTGGAGGCAGAGCACAGAAGAGTCTGTTAAGGGTTTCCGGTGGCTCACACGTGACTGTCACCTCTTATCAACACTTGCTCCCTGACAGTGACTCTTCAATTCTCCAAAGGCAGTTTTTTGCTCCACTGACTTTGACTAGGGCCAACGGGGCTCCCCCATTCCCAGCTCCGGGAACGGCACTCAGAACATCAGACATGCATGGCATTTATTTTGCCACTTGAGTCACAAGCCTCGCCCCAGGCCTACTTTTTACTGTTGGAGATAGGATGCAAAGACAAGTGTGAAGAGGAACTGGAACTTCCATATTCTTTCAAACCCAACAGCAAGTTTCTCTAGTACCTACTATGTGCTCTGCACAGCTACTGCAGAGAATATAACAGATCTTGGCCTCGTGAGGCTAGGAAGACTAACATCTACGAAGAGGCATTGCTTATTCTGTGTCAGCACTGAACTACCCTAACAGAGTCATCATTTCATTCTCTCCTGTGTGAGGAAGGTACTCCTATATCCCTGTTTTACAGATGAGGAAACTGTGATCCGGTAACTATGAGTGACATTTCCAAGTCGCGCTGTTAGGTGGCACACCTTGGTCTGTTTATTCCAGCCCTGAGCTGTTAATCCTTACTGACCCTAAGCACAGGGAGAAAGTAATATCTACAAATCTATTAAATACACAGACCTCAACTCTGGACTACAAACATGGTACCTGTGCTGGACATTGAAATGTGAGGAAGATTTAGAGGCAGAGGAGGAAAAGGAAAATGCTTCTGGATGGTCATAAAAACAAAGAAGGGGGATGGGAGAGAGTCGGAAGGGGTGGAGCACATGCAGCATGCAGGAGCCCATGGAGTGCGCAGGACTCCTGGGTTTGATCCTGGGCACCACATAGTCCCTCCCCTGAGCACTACACATTGGGAGTAGATCCTGGGTATGGGCCCATCCCCCACTTCACCCCCAAAGAAAAGAGCACAGTAGGGCAGAGCCAGGGAAGAGTATCCTGTGGATAGAAGATCAAACAGAAGGCTTCAAAGTGGCAAATATGAGAGCTGGAGCAATAGCACAGCGGGTAGGGTGTTTGCCTTGCACACGGCCGACCCAGGTTCGATTCCCAGCATCCCATATGGTCCCCCGAGCACCGCCAGGAGTAATTCCTGAGTGCAATGCCAGAAATAACCCCTGAGCATCGCCGGGTGAGACCCAAAAAGAAAAAAAAACAGTGACAAATATGTGTACTTGGGACTAGCTAACACCTCACTGGGCTGTTCACAGACTGGAGTTATCGCCATTGTCCACTAGCCCCCTGCTGTCTCATTGCTGGTACCATTACCACACTTACTGTCCCAGGAATGACATAAATTATTTAACTGAATCCTTACAGCAATCCTCTGAGATGTATATTGTTCTTTCCTGTAAAACTAATGTTTGATAGAGTTAGATAATTTATGCAAGAACACACACTTAGGGCCGGAGCGATAGTGCAGCGGGTAGGGAGTTTGCCATGTATGTGGCTGACCCAGGTTCAATCCCCGGCATCCCGTATGGTCCCCCAAGCACCACCAAGAGTAATTCCTGAGTGAAGAGCCAGGAGTAACCCCTGAGCATCGCTGGGTCTGGCCCAAAAAATAACAAAAAAAAAAGAACACACACACTTAACAGAGCCTGATCTCTCACAGAGAATGTGGCTGGAAAGTAGTCAAACTTCTCTAATCTATATTGATTTTTTGTTTGGTTAGGCTGTGGTTTTGGGTTTTGGGCTATATCCAGCAGTGCTCAGGGCTGTACTCAGCAATCATTCTTGGCAGTGATTGGGGGATCATATGGGATGCTGGGAATTGAACCTGGGTCGATCATATGCAAGACAAACACCCTACCCTCTGTACAATTGCTCTGTTTTTTCTCCATATTGTTTTATCTTGCCCAGCCCTAAGCAGTAACCCTGTGACCTATTGCTAGCCACATTCTAGAAATGGGCCTTAATTGACCTGAGACTTGGGAGCCTTGGGTCTATATTTGGACAGAGATATGGCACATGGACCAAGTTGGTCCAACCAGAGTAAAGCCCAGGACTCTGGGTTGATGGCTGAGAAAAAAATATTATTTCCTTCTTTTTTGGGGGGGAGCACAACCAGAAGTATTTAGGGACTACTCCCAGTAGTGCTCAGTGATTTCTCCTGGTGGTCCTTAGAGGAATGTACAGAGTCAGGGATGGTACCCAAGTTTTTTGCATGCAAAGTATGTGCACTAACCCTTTGAGATATTGATATATCCTGAAAATTTCTTTCTTGTTTTTGTTTGTTTGCTTTCTTGCTTATTGTGGGGTTTAGGGGGTAAGGTCAAACCCAGGAGAGCTCAGGGGTTTAAAGGCTGCTCCTGGCAGTTTTCAGGGACCTATACACTACTAGGAATCAAGTTCAGACCTCCTGCACTAAAGCATGTAATCCAGTCTCTTGAGCTATTGGGGCTGCTGACCTGGGTTTGATTTGCTCTTTCCACCACCCACACCCCATCCGTTTTAAAAAGAAACAACATTCCTGGTCCAGGCCACAGATAACTTAAGCAGAATGAAGTTGACGTGTATAGCTTAGTATCAGATGTGGAGCTTCCGCTCTTGTCACTGAGGTCTCACACGGAAGATTTGAATCAGAGGCACAAGACAGAGCATTCACATGACAATGAAGCAGCTGCAAGTTCTACTGACCCACAAAGAAGGGGCAGATAAAATACTGCTAGAGAGCTCTGTGAAGTAGGAGTCCTGTAGTGTCAAAGTGGATGGAGGACAGAAAGAAATGGAAAAAGTTGATTTTCAAGAAGAAGAAAGGCAAAGGTAGAGAGGAAAGAATGCACATGAGAACCTGAGTAGTCTGTGATGGCTGCCAGGTGAGAAAAGAACATTCTAAGAAGGTGTGGAGGGGCTGGAACCCTTCACTGCCTAGTTTTCTTTTGTGTGTTTGGTTTTGGTTTTGGGGTACAACTGGTGGTACTCAGGACTTACTCCTGGCTCTGCACTCAGAGATCACTTCTCACAGACTCGGAGGAATCATATGGGGTGCCAGGGATCAAACCTGGATCCACCACATGCAAAGTAAGCACCCTATCTGCTGTACTATGGCTCCAGCCCTGCCTAGCTTTTTTTTTTTTTAACCTTGGCCAAGTTATCCGATCTCTCTGAGCCTGGTTCTCCATCTACATAGGGAACACTATGTATTATTTCATAGGGTTGCTATGGAGATAAAATGTGATACACTTAAAGCACTTAGGAGGTATCCAGGAAATATTTGTTGACTGGGGCAGGGGTCTCAGCACTGCGTCTGGTCCCTCATCTCTGCCAGGAGTGATCCCCTAGTGCAAAACTGGAGGTAAACCCTGAGCATAGCCGGATGTGGCCCCCAAACAAAAATAAAACAGTCAGCCAAACAGGCCAGAATGATAGTACAGCAGGTAGGACATTTGCCTTGCACTCAGTCGACACAGGTTTGATACCTGGCACTCCAGATGGTCCCTGAAACCCTACCAGGAATGGTCCCTGAGCACAGAGCACTAAGCAACTCTGGGTGTGCCCCCCCCCCCCCAACACACACACAAAATCAGCCAAACAGAAGAACAGAACCCTCTTGTGGTACTGGAAAATGTCTGGAGGATCATCTACTAAATTCAGTTTGAAAAAGAGATGAAAAAGAAAAGAGATAAAAATTAAAGAAGCAAACTGGACTGGGTGTGGTTAAGAAGAAATGAATCTGCATTCCCTGGGCTGAGCCAGACTGTTGGAAAAATTCAAACTGACTTGAGAATTCTGCCCAAGAGACATCTGCACAGGACATCCAGAGTCCAATGTCATTTCTAATGTATGTCATAGAACTTGTCAAGAAGATCAGCCCAGGTGACTCCCCTTTTTGGCTCACCTTGCTAAACAATTTATGATGGTACCTATCTAAAGGCCTTTCCACTTATTCAAACATGTCCCATCCATTAAGATTCAGTGACATCTCTGGTCTTCTGCAAAGTTTTCCCAATTCTTCCAACCTTTCTTCTTTTCAAATCCAAATGCTTTTTGCTTCCCTCACTTGATAATCACAGACTGCTTAAGGATAGCTCTTGGATTATCCCTATTCTTTTTTATTTGTTTGATTTTATTTGGGAGTGGGGGGGAAGCACACTGGTGATTCTCAGGATTTACTCCTGGCTCTGAAGTCAGAAACTACTCCTAGTGAAACTTGTGGGGGGGCTGTATGGGGTGCCAGGGATAGAATCAGGTTGACAATGTGCAAGGCAAGTGCCCTATCCACTATACTATATCTCCAGCCCTAGATAATCTCTACTCTAACAGTGTTCTATTAGCTCCTTACCTAGAAGTTCTTTGAGTAAAGTCAAAATCAGAGGTGCCTGTACTAATCATAAATCATCAAGAAAAGTTTCAAAAATAAGCAATTTTAGGGAATCCATTCCCAAAGACCAGGTTTTATCACTTTGTTTTTGTTGAGGACCTTACCCTGTGGTGCTCAGAGAAGCAAACAGTGCCAGGAATTGAACCCAGGGCCTCCCACATGCAGAGCAAGCACTCAGTCCATACAGTCATCTCTCGGGCCTGTTTTGTTTTGCTTGGTAGGCAGGGACCACCCCAGCAGGTGGCCTGAAGGCAGTGGTTCAATACTAGGACCACTAGGACCACTAGAATGTGGTGCTATTCAGGCTCTGTGTTGCTGGGGATTATATAGGTCACCCCTGAGCTTGGGAACCACCAGAGTCACACCCAGTGGTGTTGACTGGGGCTATAAGTGACAATGCTCCGGGTATGATGTGGTGCCTAGAATGGAACCAAAGGGAGGCTCAAACCAGAGTCAGCTGAGTAGAAGGCAAGTGCCTGAACCCCTGTACTAACTCAAAAGACCAGTTTTAAAAGCTTCCTAATGTTTCTGATCAGTAAGTTTTGAGAACATCTAATCAGGATGGTACACGAGATTTTTTTTTAATTAAGATATGCATACATGCAATAAACATGTTATCATATGCATACAACAAACATGAGTGTGTACTTATATTTCAGTCCACAATTTTTATATTAATAAAATAATGACTATAATCATTCTTTATTCTTTTGGTTTTGGGGCCACATCCAGGCAGTGCTCAGCGGCTACACCGGGTGGTGCAGGGGAACCATATGTGATATCTGGATTTGAACTAGTGCTGAGGCCGCAAGGTGCATGCCAGGCAAGAGCCAAGCTTTCACCTCTGTACTATCTCTCTAGCCCTAGACTATTTATTTTTGTTTTGGGTCCACACTCAGCAATGCTCAGGGGTTATTCCTGGCTCTGTACTCAGGAATCACTCCTCAGGGGACCATATGGGATGCCGGGGACTGAACCCAGGTGGGCTACATGCAAGGCCAGCGCCCAACCCACTGTACCATCACTCCAGTCCTTTACTATGACTATTGACTATATAATAGCTTGATTTAATTTAACCACCTGACTACCCAGAGGATGGGTAGACATACAGACATGGAGTTCAGTGTAGTGTACTGCACATGACTGCTCTCACTTTTGATGTCATTTATCCAACAAACGCTTTCTGAGTGAAGAATGTGATTTATAGGGCCAAAGAGACTGTAGAGGAGTTAGAACACTTGTCTAGCGTGAAGCTGACTCAGGTTCTACCCCAATACCACTGGTCCTGAGCATAGAGCCAGGAGTAGCTCCCCAAATAGTGCTGGCTGTGGCCCCAAAACCCAAACTCTCACTCAAAAGAGAATGTTTTATGTTTGTTTGTCCAAACCATAACCCCATGCTTTCCCCATTAAAAAAAAAAAAGTTTTTATTTGGCTCTGACCTAAGCTTCATAGATTCTTTTTCTTTCTTTTTTTTTTTTTTTACTTTTTGGGTCACACCCACCGATGCACTGGGGTTACTCCTAGCTCAACCACTCAGGAATTACTTCTGGCAGTGCTCAGGGGACCATATAGGATGCTGGGAATCGAACCCAGGTCGGCCACGTGCAAGGCAAATGCCCTACCAGTTGTATCTCTCCAGCCCCGATTCTTTCATATTTTTGAACCAAAGATAAAGTTAAATGATCTAAAGAAGAAAAGTGTTGGTGAGACTGAATTCTACTTTCACCACTTTAATGGCCAAATGGCCTCGAGCGAGTTTGTTAAGTTCTGAGACTCTGATAATTTATACTGCAGCACTGTCCTCCGTTGTTCATCCATTCGCTCGAGCGGGCACCAGTAACATCTCCATTGTGAGACTTGTTACTGTTTTTGGCATATCGAATACACCACAGGGAGCTTGCCAGGCTCTGCCATGCGGGTGGGAAACTCTTGGTGGCTTGCCGGGCTCTCCGAGAGGGACGGAGTAATCGAACCTGGGTCTGCCGCATGCAAGGCAAATGCCCTACCCGCTGTGCTATCGCTCCAGCCCATAATTTATACACATCGTAGAAATAATAGTGATCACTCATGAAGTTGTTGAATAGGAATGAATACCACGACACACAGAGGCACTCAAACTACAAATGGCAGCTCTAACTATGATGATTATTATAACTACACGACCTTTAAGTTCTTTATATATAAAAATGGGAACACTGAGTCAGGAAGATTACTTACCCATGTTGCCCCCCCCCCCCCCCAGGCCTCCCACCTCCACCCGTCCAGCACTGCATGATCCCCCAAGTGCTGCTGGGAGCAATCTGGTGCAATGAGCCAGAAATACTTTCCGAGCACCCCAGGGTGTGGCTCCAAGACAAAGCATAACAAAAAGAGCAGAGTCACTTCTTAGGTAAAATTGAAATAAACAGATTGATATCATCCTAGGGCCTGGTACATTTTGTTTTATTTTAGTTTTTGAAGCAGAAGAATGTTTAGGGAACAGGGGAGAGAAAGAGAGTTACACATTCAAGAGAAAAAGAGAACGTGAATGTCTTCAGAGAGGAGAGCGCAGAGCAGCCTCTCTGGCTTGAGGCGCAGATGAATCCCAGCAAGGAGGAGGGGCGGGGCCTAGCGCACTTCAAGTGTTCACCAAAGGGTCGGATCCATTAACACGCTGCCTTTCTTTCACCAGACTCCATACAAGCCTCATTTGCCCTGGACTGAGCAAAACGGATTCTTTCTTCCCAGGCGTTTTGGATTTAAGACACCCCTACACAAATCAGAGAAATTGAGCAGGTCTAGTGTGTGTGTGTGTGTGTGTGTGTGTGTGTGTGTGTGTGTGTGTGAAGGGGTGCCCACTGCATCTATCCAGCATGCTGGGATGGGGTGCCTCTATCTAGTGGACAGCAAGACAGCGAGACCACCTTTCTGCCAAAGACGTGGCCTTTCCATGGCTGCTGTTTCAGGCCACATAATCACTTTTTTTTTTATGTAGGAGTACTGCTATTTATTCAGCCGCTGATTAGCTGATTGAATTGAGCATGAACTCCACCTTACTTTTTTTTTTCATTTTTTATAATTTTATTTATTGAATCACCGTGAGAGCAAGTACAAGGCTTTGGGGTTTAAGTCTCTTGGGTCAGGGTGCCTTCAGGCAGGCTCTCTGGAGACCGAAAGCTCTCAGCTCTGCCCTTTGCTCTCTGCAGGAAGTGAGGAAACAGCCTACTCTTAGAGAGCGCTCCAAGGGTGCACTTGAGCAATGGCCAGGTCATTGCAGTGACCAATGCCCTTGACCCAAGGGCAGAGAGGGCAACTGGCAAAGGAGTCAATATAAAATGTACTAGGGAGGGAGCTCCAGCGATATTGCAGCAGATAGGGCGCTTGTCTTGCACGCAGCGGACCCAGGTTCAATCACTTGCACCCCACAGGGTCCCCTGAGCACTGCCAGGGGTGTTTTTTTTTTTAATGCAGAGCCATAAATAACCCCTGGACACCACCAGGTGTGCACCCCACCCCCCATTAAGTGCCAGGGATTACTGACTATAATAAAAAAAAAATCTCGGTGGGGAAGTCTTAATGGTTTCACAGAACTCGTTTACTGGCCTCACAACCTTCACCCTAAGGCGGTGAGCGCAACTGTCAGCTGCCATTACATATACATAACATAAATATATTTGGTTTGGGAGCCACACCCAGTGGTGCTCCGGGGCTTATTCCCGGCTCTGAGCTCAGGGATCACGCCTGGTGGGGCCGTGCAAGGCAGGCAGGCGGGTTACCTGCTGGCCTCTTGCTCCAGTCTCTGTCGGCTGCCCTTTGCAGGAGACAGTGAGCCCCAGAGAGGTTGAACCACCTGCCCAAGGTCACCCGGGAAGGGAACTGCGGGCCAGGTCGGCTGGCCTCGAGTGCGCGGACCGGGAAGAAGGAAGGGCGAGCTGCTGCCAGCGTTAGGAAGAGGAAAGCGAGGGTGAGAGGAAGGCACGCAGCAGGTGCGGGCAGCCCGAGACGTGAGACCGGGGCGCTGCGGGCTCAGGCGTAGGCGGGGAGTCCCCACTCTAGGGCGCCGGGTGGGGTCCGGTGAAAGGGCTGGAAGGCAGGGGGGAAGTGAAGGGTGCTGTAAGTACCGGGGGTGACTGAGGAAGAAACAGATCGGACGAAAAAACGAACGTGGAGCTTCCGGGACTGAGCCGAGCAGGCCCCACAGCGGGCTGAAAAACGCCAACGTCTGCAGAACTCGGCTTCGAGTGGGAGTTTTCTCCAGGCAAACTTACCCAGCCAAGGGGACTCCTCGGGAGCGGCCCACACGCTCAACGCTAGGGATACGAGAGAGTCCCCGGGCCGCCGAGGCCCGTCGGTAGTTGTAGTCTGCACAAGTCAGTAGGGTGCGACCAGGCGCGGGACGCCCCCGCGCCCCGAACAGTAACTCCCGAGCTGCACCGCGCAGCCTGCGCGCTGCCACCCTGACTACAAATCCCAGAGTCCTACGCGGCGCTCCGGGGCGGAACCCGCCCTCGCCCCGGGACGCGGTACGAGTCCGCCCTCTGGCGGTCAGAGGCGCGGCTGCCACTCCTGCGCGGGTGGCGCAGAGGGCTTTTCTCAGCCAGTAAACAACCCTAGTCTGCATCCTCAGATAGTTCCCAGACGTGCCTGGACTAGAAGAGCCTTGGTTTTGTGTTTTGCTTTCTTCTCTGTGGTGTGTGTGTGTGTGTGTGTGTGTGTGTGTGTGTGTGTGTGTGTGTTTCCCCATGCTCCGCCCCTGCTTTACCCTTTTTATTTTTTTGAGTGCTAAAAGTAGGTTAAGAGATATTCTTTTTTTTTTTTTTAATTGAATTGCCATGAGCTATAGTTACAAAGCTTTCATGTTTGAGTTTCAATCATGCAATGATGGAACACCCATCCCTCCACTAGAGTACATTTTCCACCACCGATGTCCCCAGGCAGTCTGCCCCTGCGCCTGACTGTTCCTCGCCGGGCCCGTTGGAGGGGAGCGGGTTGAGCTTTCCTCCCCGCCCCGACCAGGGCCCCGGCAGCCGAAGACCTCCAGGACCAGCCACCACCATGCTGAGACCACTCTCCGCACACCTGAAGGTACTGGCAGAGGGATAAATCCACGTGGGTTCCAGGGCCGAGATCTCCCAGCCTACTTGGATTGGAGTCGAGCATCCTCCACCCAGATCCTCCAAATTCCAGTAGGCGGGGGTCACACCCACCACCTGGCCCCCTGGCGCCGTGTAATCCCATCAATGGCCAAGACTCAGAGACTATAAAATCCAGCTCCCGGACGAGAACAGTGCAGTCTGCCCCCGCGCCTGGCTGTTCCTCGCCGGGGCCCGTTGGAGAGGAGCGGGTTGAGCTTTCCTCCCCGCCCCGACATTCACGGCCGCGCGACACCTTATCAGGACATCTTTTATGACATTTTATCATCTCATTCCTACTTTGGACAAACTTGCAGGCTATCGAATGTAGCCTGCCCACAGGGCAGAGTCTGGCAAACTCCCCGTGGCGTACCAAATATGCCAAATACCAGTAACAATGATGGGTCTCATTCTCCTAAAGAGCCTTGAATATAATCTCAGGGCTAGGATGAAGGAGACGTTACTGGGGCCTGCTCGAGGCAATCGACGAATAACAGGATGATGAAATGAAAATGAAATGAAATGATGTCCCCAGTATCCCTCCCCACCCTTTATTCTTAAAAGGAGACAGTCCTAGGTCTGAGCTTGTTTTGTGTATCTTCCCCCTTACCCCACTTAGTTTTCTGTGAGCGTGGCCCATCACTCTCATTAAGGGCACATTTCCTACTAACCTGTGCTTGATAACTAGTTTTTCACTGCTGTCCAGTGGTTCACTGGTCCTAAAACAAGGAGAAACTGAGAGATGAGATTACCTCCATTCCCACCCTCTTACTGCCCGCACTCCCAGCCCCTCTGTTCATCACTTCTTTACTGGCCTTTTCAGAGCTGCTCTGGTTGGTGAACAAGATGTTTTTCCTAACTCGACAGTTCTTAGAATCTAGTGGAGGATTCTGACAAATGAATAATTATAGCATAATGATATGTGATCTGCTGTGGGGACCGGGAGGGTGGGAGAGACTGGAAAGGGGTACCTGCCCAGGTCGGGGGGAAGGGGTAGTGTCATCAAGGCTTCCATATTAGAACTGAGAGCGGAGGAATAGGATTTACTCAGGAATACAGGGGTGTGAGGAAGGTTTAACATTGGCTGGAACAGACTGTGAGGGATGGAATGGAGACAGTGGGACCTGGAGGGAGGCAGGACCCTACCCTCAAGAACCCCCCAAATTTGCATAATAAAATTAAATTATAGGGGTCAGAAGATAGCAGGTACGGTAGTTGCCTCGCATGCAGTCAACTTGGGTTTGATACCTTATATTCCTCTAGCCTACCAGAAGTAAGCTCTGAGCATCACCTAGTGTGTGTGTGTGTGGGGGGGGGGGGGAGGGGAACTGGAGAAATAAAAGAGAGAAAAGAGAGAAAATTCTATTATTATTATTATTATTATTATTATTATTATTATTTCTTTTTGGGTCACACCCAGTGATGCTCAGGGGTTTCTCCTGGCTCTGCACTCAGGAATCACTCCTGACGGTGCTCAGGGGACCATATAGGATGCTGGGTATCGAACCCGGGTTGGCTGCGTGCAAGGCAAACGCCTTACCTACTGTGCTATTGCTCTAGCCCCCAGAAAATTCTATTATTAAGGCAGCTCACAAACTTAACTTCAAACTCACTTCATCAATGATTTTCTATGACTGAATAGTGAGGTCCCATCTTAGGCCTGCCATTCAAAGTCCTCCTTTTCCAAGATCACCTTATCTCCCCAGAAGTGTTGTTCAGGCTTTTCCCTGACAAGAATCCCCTCTCTTCTGACAGGAAACCCAGCTACATCCTCAGGATGTGTCATGTTCTGCTTCACCGTCTTATATCCAGGAGGAACAGTGCCCTATCTGGTGAATAGTCTAATCCTGTTCTTTTGTTTGTTTATTTGTGGTTTGTCTTTTGTTTGTTTTTGTTTGGGGGCAACACCAGGGGATGCTCAGGGATTACTCCTGGCTCTGCAATCAGAAATTACTCTTGGCGAGGCTCTGGGGGCCATATAGGATGCCAGGATTAAAACCCAGTTGGCCACATGCAAGGCATGCTCCCTACCTGATCCACTGTACTATCTTCCCAGCCCCTAATCCTGTTCTTTATCTAAAGTTCCCTAAATTTGGAAAAGGCAGCTCAGATAGAGAAGAGAGCACCAAGTAAAGGGTGTTGGGAGGATCCTCCCAGAACGGGAGATGATGCTGAAAGTAGACTATAGACCGAACATGATTGCCACTCAATGCCTCTTTTGCAAACCACAGCGCACAAAAGGAGAGAGAGAACAAAAGGGAATGCCCTGCCACAGAGGTGGGGTGGGATGGGGGTTAGGGGGATGGGAGGGATACTGGGATCATTGGTGGTGGAGAATGGGCACTGGTGGAGGGACGGGTACTTGATCATTGTATAACTGGAACCCAAGCACAAGTCTTGGGTTTGTAAGTCTACAACTATACCTCATGGTGTTTCACTAATAAAAATTTAAAAAAATAATAATAAAGTTCCCTAAATTCTTGTTGATTCTTCCCATCCTAAGGAATCTTTGCTTCCTCTCCATTGTTGAAATGTTTATGTGCACCCACAGGCCTTAGGCCTTCCCAGTGAGTAGTCTTAACTCTCCCTAACTCTCCACAAACTTTGAGTCTCTTGGGCTCCCTCAGCTGAGCCCCTCCACATACCCATCCAGGTACTCTCACATCTAAAACCAAAAAATGCTTTAGTGGTTTATCACAGAAAACACTAACTTAAAAGGAAATGAAAATGGAACCCGAAAAATAGTACAGCGGGCAGGGCGCTTGTCTTGGATGCGGCCAACATGGTTTAGGCTTCAGTTCAGCTCTTTAGGCAGTCACCAGCGCTAGGAGTCAGGATAAAGTCATCAGGAGAGAGGCAGGACAGCTGCTGTGGTAATTAAGCTCTGGATTTAATTAAAGCTGTGGTTACTGGGAGCAGTGATCACAGAACATAAAAGGCTTAGCACGGATCAGAGTGGCTCCTTTTGGCAAATTAATCAGTGTTCTGTGGCTGGCCCAGACCTCCATGACTAACCAAGAGCTCCTGGTCATGAGAGGGGCAGCTGGTGAGTGCCAAACTAGGTCAGACCAGGCCACACAGGGGACACTTGAGGGCCACCCAACCTTTAAACTTGCCCCTTTAAAATAGTCTTTAAATCTTTAAATAGAGAGTCTATTTTACCTTCACTGTCAGTGTTAGGAAAACCCACACAAACTCTCTCTCATTTAAAAAGAAAATACTCCAGTTCCATTTCATTTGGGGTGAGTGGGATGGGGAGCACCACTGGCTGTGCTCAGGGCTGACTCCTGGCTCTGCGCTCAGGGATCACTCCCTGGCAGTGCTTAGGGGACCATCTGTGGTGCTGAGGGTAAAACCTGGGTTGGCCATGTGCCCACTGTATTATCTCTCTGGTTTCATTGTTTCCTTTTAAGCAAGTATTTTCTGTGAGAAACCACTAAAGCACTTTAATTTTTTAGCAAGCAATTGATTTTCCAGACTTTTCATCATCTCACCCACTGAGGGTACTTTCCTCTTGACAACCTTCCCACTATGGCCATTACCTTCTTCCAAAGTTACTTAGGTATTTGAGAAACTGATTTAGACATTTTTTTCTCTCCCCTTTACTACCTAAGTGGGTGGACAATACATTTATTCCAAAGTATAATGTGCATGTACCAAAATGTGTTAAGTGCACTAATAAATGTACAGCTTAACCCTTTTTGAAAAAATTTTGGATGCAACACACACCTGACTGGAAATGTAGAATATTTCCTGAGAGTTGCCTAAGTTCCTTATCAGTTTATAACCATCCATCCCATCTCCCAAGGAAACCACTCTTATAATTTTCTTTCTATCACCAACTACTTGAGTGGGACAACATTTTATAATTTTTTTTTTTGGCTTTTTGGGTCACACACGGCGATGCACAGGGGTTACTCCTGGCTTTGCACTCAGGAATCACTCCTGGCGGTGCTCAGGGGACCATAAAGGATGCTGGGAATCGAACCCGGGTTGGCCGCCTGCAAGGCAAATGCCCTACCCGCTGTGCTATCACTCCAGCCCCAACATTTTATAATTTTTGACAATGATATTCTATGAGCCAGGATACATTAGTGGACAATATCTGGGCCAATGCCACAAACATGAGTCCTGGGTTAAATCTACAGCACAACTGTAGCACTGAGCACTGTCCTCCCGTTGTTCATCGATTTGCTCAAGTGGGCACCAGTAACGTCTCACAACAAATTGTGATACTTGTTGTTACTGTTTTTGGCATATCGAATACGTCACGAGTAGCTTGCCAGGCTTTGCCGA